TCAAAGCATACTGAGCATCTTTCTCTTTGACACCATGTCTGAAATCCCACGTGATCTGTCAAATACTAATGCATGAAAATCCTAACCTCAAAAAAATCACCCGTTATATACAGTAATAAACCTTTTTGAGTACTCCTCGGGGATAAAATCTGATCAGGGTTGATAATGTGAAGGAGCATGAATTTTGCTGATTCAGATTTGCATACAAAATTATTGTGGTATGAAAGGGAGCAACCGTACCATGGCAGAGTGGCACAGGTAATTTTGTAAACAAACACTTTCCTTATAATTTTAAAGTGATAATTGCTATTTATTTTCCAATATTCAGATATCCAGCTTGTAGCCAGAGGTACTAAAATCGACTCATCATGTTGGATCAGCTCCGGGCAATGGACAATTGCATGTGTTGGCTGAACTTATGACCACCGTAACCAACGCAGTCTCCAAGCAAATGCGTGTCTTGAATATACGGTTGCAATTCATAGCAATCGGTATTGTATACGTGTATGATTCACATATGTGACATTATATACTTTGATTTTAAGTATTTTTAAGGAGTTCCGCTCAAGCTTGGGTGTGCTTAATGAGCAGTTTGGGTGGATGCCAGCGCATTGGAGTCTATATAATTAAAAAAACTTTATTTTTTGTTTTGGAATAAAGACTTAAATATATTCGAAAATTTAGAGGTTTTCTTGATAAATTCACGTTTATTCATAAAAAATACGATGTGAATTTCCAGTTTATAAAAACTCGGTGACCAATTGGTGAAGTAATGCGAAAAGTTTTATTACTGTATATACTGTGATTCACACGATTGGATAAATTAAAGAGGGATCCATTAAATACATATATAGTACATGCAGAAAATACTTTTCCGTACACTGAGAAAAGAGTTAACTTACGTCAACTATTTAGATATATTTTTCCCAATAAACGACTTGGTACAACCTGATAGATCTTATACCATGCCGCCGTTGGACACTCAACTAATTTTCCGCGTAGCAGGTTAACTGCAGACGACGGCAGATAGATGGATGGTGTTCTACACCGACGAGTCACCAGACTGAATTGGTATATGGTGACACCTTAGGAGTTCAATAGGATTATTCTAGTTGTTTATTCTGGCAACTAATAAGTGCTTTCTGGACCTGTCTCCTGTTTGGCTTTATTCCCAAAATAAGAAGAAGAAGAAGAAGAAATTCGAGAAATTTTGTAAATAATCATGCATTCAATGCCTGCTGAGAAAATCGTCAAGATCGGTATTGTATAAGCTATAACTCCTATAACACTGATTGTTCAGCTACAAGGTATTGCAAAAATACTCCTTTAAGTAGGTAGCTTAAACCATAAAATTGTGTTACCAGTTTACATACCGGTCACACAAAGCAGTGAAAATCACGTAGATTGGTGCTTTATAAGGTATATCTTCCATACCACTGATTGTTTAGATATGATATTTTTATATATGTATGTAACTCCTCTAACTACGGTATGTATGCTGTTTAATATAAACATTTTTTTTTTTGCTTCCAAACAACTAATTTAAAATGCAATTATCTGTTAAAGTAGAATTTTCTGATGTTCATGAAAAGTATGAAGCCTTCGGCATAACCGAAGACAGCACAACTCTTACTTGTTAGTATGAAGTCAAAGTTATGTTTTTGTTTTTTGAGTTAAAGATAATAAAGAACCCAAATATTTTTGATATTTAATTCTTACGGCTCTACTTCCACAGTTGTTTGGGGTCACTCGATACCCTATGCGACTAATTGTGTGATTTTCTTTGTGCGCCTAATTAAGGGGTAACTCAGCTTAACTGGATAAATGTACATATATCTACGAGTCAATTAATTAAAACCGACTCAAGTTACACTCAAAACCATTTACGCTCTCTAATTCCGTAAGACAGTATTGAGTAAAAGCTCTGCCTTTTAGCCAGCTCAGCTTACGACTAAGAACTCTCAACTCAGCTTGCCGTGTATTTATTAGCAACTCAGCCTTGGCATTGACAAAAAAAAAACACTAGCCGGCAACTGTAGCCACATAACAAGAAACATAAAAAGAGGAGTAGAAGCTAGCAGCATCTTTGCCCAGCTTATCATGCATTGCCCGTAAAAGTCTTAAGCTCGTTTTTGAGCTTCTCCGTCGACTGGTTGTGTATGCAGTTGCAACAACGGACCCAAATCAGTTGTTTACCGCATTGGTAAGAGCACGGTTGGGTTGACGGTTGTGCAAAAGGTGGCGAATAGTGTGTGAGAATGATCATGAAAATAGCGAAAATAAAATAAAAGGGTATAGAAATTGAAATTGTTTTTTCTCATTTAATATTGTGCGGCGCGTGTCGGAAAGTATGACAAAGAAGAGCGTTTGTCGTTTGATTTGTTGATTAGAAAACATACATTCTATTCGCGAGTAAAGCTGCAAACAAAAATTAAAAAAAAAAAAAAGATTTGTCAACTGACAACTTCACGTGATTTATAATCTCAGAGTTGTCAATTGTTCTCTGCCGCATTGTGTTCTATATACATATGTATGTGTTTGCCGTTGTTCGCGCGTGCTTTTATGCAGACCATCTCTTGTGGGCTGTGTATGCGACCACCTACGAACGTAGAAAGTGTGGCGCTTCTTTGTGAAGTAAACAGTTTGTGAAATCAGCAAAGAATTATTTGTGAATTTTTCTTAACTTTCTTTTGAAACGCAACTAAAATAAATAATAAAACTATTTTTATTTTTTTGATTTGTGTACCTGTTGTAACTACACAATCAAGCAACGAAGATGCGCTTTCGTTCCACTGTTGCATTATTCTTACCCAGCTGCTGCTGGTTGCCGAACAACAGCAACATAATCAAACGTGGTGGTCGCCGGCAAGTAGCAGCTGTTGCTGCACGTGGTTATAGTATTTTGTTCCCCACACTGTTGTTGCAGGTGCTCTTAAGTGCAGCACTAGGTGGTGCCGTCACGCCTGCCAGCAGTGGAACGAAAGGATTACCGCGCATGCGAGCAGCGAAAATAGCGCGGCTTCACACTCTGCAGGGAGTGCCCGGGAGCTTTGGTGGCATTAGCTTCAGCCCCGGAAATAGCAGCAAAATCAATAGCGCAGAAGTTGATGCAACGATGAAAGAGAAAAAGGGCGCAAATATTGACGGCAATCATTTGACTGGGAAATACGGTGAGTTATGCTGCTGTAAGCAGACTGTGGATGTTGGATGTGATTGATTGTGGGTAGTTCCTAGTACCATTCGATTGATTTGAGGCTCAGTGCACAGGAAATGATAGAAACATTTTGTTTTTACCGCTAGTCAGACGGAAGTGTTATTTAATCCCGTAGTCGTTATGTATTTCCAACTATTAAATTATCTAGAGGGCTTATATTCAATATGACCTATCTGCAGTTTATACGAACATTACTTTTTGATGTTAGAACAAAGAAAAAGCTATTCTGAAAGGACTGTTTGGAAAATCGAGTTAATTTGAAATTCCCGAAATATGTTCATCACATAAAAACGAAAAACTTAAGCTTACGCCTACGCGTATTTTTAAATACAGGCTTTGTTAACAGAAGTAATTGTAGCTATTTTAACCTCCGGACTAATAAGACCTGCAAGGTGGGATTGCCGAAACCGTTTCAGTCCATATAATTTCCATGAAAACGACTACCAACCCTGGAAACTACTTAGAAGCAATAGTCTATCGCCTTGAGAAAGCGGAATACTGTGGTATACCAATTTTGCCAGCTGACTCCAGATTAATTAGAAAGTTTTCACGCAGGAGACTTATTCGCAATCTAGTAAGGGCTGGACAGTGGAAGAGTGTATGTTCCATAATACCCTAATTTCTACCGCATATCTTTGCAAATTTTGGCATTGACCTGTTAGTTCAACCGCTAGGTGCCTAGCGGCTTCCCTCGTAGGATATAAAATAAACTTTGTAACCTCGCAACTATCTTTACAGAATTTTTAATTTACATAGTGGTAACTTAACTAGATTTTTTTCGGGTAGAAATTCGGATAATTGAGCTTAGTCAACGAAGGAGATTAAAGCAGGATTGAGTCCTTCACTTTAAAGTAACTAAGGCGACGTATAATAGTTGTTAAAATAATCCGAAATATATAATAATATGCTCAGGATTAATTTTGTATGCTTCATTGGGCTTAGAAAATCGTTAATAATTCCTATTATATTTGATTTTTGGAAATAAGAAGAATTCATTGGGTGCCAAATCAGGACTTTACGGTGGATGATCCATTAATTCGATATTAGGATTTTCATGGTAAGGAGAGGTCGCATTGTCATGGCGAAAAATCATTCATCGCCTTGAGTTTTTTATCATATTTTCCTGATGTCTTCTGGCAAACAAATGGTTGTTTAAAAATCAGCTGCCTCAAGACATCCCTGCCGGTTAAGGTATAAATCAAAAAGAAAAGTGTTTGTTTTTTTTTGGGCTTCGAATTAATATATAATCCGCTGAGACGTACCTAACTATGAACCAACGACGATTTAACACGGCTATAAATAGTGAGGGACAAACAGAAACTATTCAGAACGAAAAATTACACTGAAGATGGCACAACGCCGAAACCGGTTTGTCTCCAAACCAAATTTGACAAGGGATGACAGAAAATCGTTCCACATTACATCATATACACATGTAACCATAAGTGGGCGTGGCTACGCCCATTTTCCAAAAATTTATAGTATTCATATTTTTCGTCTGAAAATTATTGTAAATATCAATTTTGAGTGATTTATCTTCAGTAGTTACTAAAATGTCGCAGTTTTCGTATTTCTGGAAATTACCGTTATATGGGAA